GTATTGCCAGGTGAATATTTTTCTTGTAGTTTTCATGCTTATTTTTTTAATTCTTCTTTTAAAAATTTGTTTATTATAACTACTCGGTTTTAACTCTTACTTAATTATATCTCTATTTTTTTAACTTAATGAGCTGATAGCTCAATAAGTTTTAAAAAAAAATCTCTATTTTTTAATGGATTAGATATAATTAAATTTATTGAACCTACTTATCTTATAATTTATTAAAGAATTTTGACGAGTATAATATAGCTATCATAGTCATTAAAACTATATGTATTTATTCTTAACTTTTTTTTATTTTAAATTTAAGGTGTAATTTAATTTATTTTTATAATCTTTTATTTATTACAATTAAATTATGCTAGTCAGATTACGTTGAGCCTTCACCCAATTTTTTGGTAAATGAGAGCTCTTTAATGAATTTAAGTTTATTTTTCCTATTAATGTGATGATTTTTCATATATCTTTTATTTTTAATTTAGTAAAAATTGTTTGAAGATCTTTTTATTCATCATATTTTTCATTAAATATCTTAAAAATTAAAAACATGGTTATTCTAAACTTTTTAAATATATAATCCATTTTTTTCTTTTTTCCATTTTTAACATGACATAATTTCATTCTTCCCAGCCGTAGCTTTAGAGTAAAACTAACAACTCTTCTTTTGTTTTGTTTTTTTTAAGCTATATCTGTCATTACCTGTCAAATCGGTCCTTTTAAAAAAAAATGAGTTCTTTCGCCTTCTACGCTACATTTATCTATTTAATAATTTTGGGAACCATCTTAAATAATTTTAGCCACAATTTAAAAGTTTATATTTTTTTTTTTTAGTTCTTTCTCCTTCTCTTCGCATCTTGTTTGTTGAAGCAGATCTCCTCAAGTCTCCAAAGATGCTGAGGAGCCCCTTTCATCTGTTGGCTTATATTTTTTATTTATGTCGTCACATTATCCGACAAATTCTTAGAAAAATAAAAAATTTTCTCTATGATTCTTTTTTATTAATAGGGCGATTAAAAATATCTATATTATTTATTTATTTTGTTCTATCAAATATTGAATTCTATCATACGTTTTGTGTCTCTGATGAGGGGCTATTCGGCTACGAGTAGAATTTAATAAATCTTATAATTTTAGATTTAGTAAATTTTGTGATAGTTAAAATTTTAAAATTATTTGGGATGATAACGATTAAATTCAATTAAATTTAAATGAGCTATTCGACTTTTTATTTTCGAATTTATCTTTAGCTTAAAAATTTTTAATATTAATAATTGTTAATGTTGCGTGTTAGAAAGTTTCAGTCGGTAGAGTTTATGTTTCAAGTCTTAGCAATGTATAAAAATTCTATACAAATAGATAAAAATGATAAGACTAGAAGAAATTTTTATGTGAAAATTTCGGAAGGGGAAAAAACTATGGGGCCTTACTTAGTTGCAAAACTTATAATGTAGTAAATGATACAAATATATTCCTTTCTTCACTATTAAAGAAGAGAAAGAGTATAAAGATCAAATGTCTACATATGGATAATTTACACCCCACAACAAGTCTTAATTTTTTTAAGAGGAATTTTAGAAAATTGTTGTCCACAGACGGACAAATATACCCAATGACAGAGATAAATCTTCTAGATATTCTAGATAAATTAGTGACTTTTGAAGCTGGTAATTGATAGCGACAGTAGTTGTCGATCACAACAATTGGTGGTCTTCGACAACGGTGATGGATGGAAATACAAGACAGCTCTTCCTAGTTCTCTATATATATCTCTCTCTATATGTCAAATTAAGAGTGCTCCATCAAACAGTTCATATTAATTCTCTTAATCATAGATCTTTCATCAAATATTTAAGTGTTTTAATGAGGTCAGAATTAAATAATCTTGGGCTCATTGGATTCGTCTCGTTGAGCCGTTCTATTTGATTATAAGCATGTCTTATTAAAAGATCATTTAATTACTCAATCAATGCTTTAAATCTTCTATGTACGCTTCAGTCTATTAATTCAAGGCCATTTGGTCTCAGATTAGATCGATTTTGATGTCATTGGATTCATTTTGTCAAAATGTTTAGTTTGACTATAAGTTTGCTATGAACAGAATACCCCACAACAAGTCTTAATTTTTTTAAGAGGAATTTTAGAAAATTGTTGTCCACATGCGGACAAATATACCCAATGGCAGAGATAAATCTTCCTGGTATTCTAGAGAAATTGGTGTCTCTCTCTCTCTATGCCAAATTAGGAGTGCTGCATCAGTCAATCCATATTAATTCCCTTAATCATAGATCTTTCATCAAATATTTAAGTCTCTTAATGATGTCAGAATTAAGTAATCTTGGGCTCGTTGGATTCGTCTCGTCGAGCAGTTCGATTCTTATAAGCATGTCATATTTAGATATCATTGAATTACTCAATCAATGCTTTAAATCTTCTATGTATGCTTCAGTTTATTGATAGAAGGCCATTTGGTCTCAAATTAGACTGATTTTGATGTCATTGGATTCATTTTGTCAAAATGTTTAGTTTGACTATAAGTTTGCTATGAACAGAATTTGGATTATCATAAATTTAATTTTGAAAATTTTCAGTTCAAACATGTCTCTAGATAAGTGCTTGATCAATGTGATTTTTGGTGGCGTATCATTCGCCCTCCTATTTTCGAATGTCAAAACTTATAATGTCCGAAAATATATTTTAAATCTTAAAAAAATCGTGTATTTTTATATTTTTGAGATTTTTTTTTCTTTTTTTAGAGTATTTTTATATTTTTGAGAAATTTTTTTTTCTTTTTTTAGAGTTTTTTTTTAACAAAATTCTCTCTTTTTTTAATTGAAACCTCTTTTTTTAGATTATATAAATTTGTTAAGAGATTTTTTTTTTTTTTTTGTAGATTTATTTTTTTGTAAAAGTTTTTTCATTTAAAGTTATTTTTATTATTATTTTTACTTATTTATTTGTACATATTTCTTAAATTTTGTGAATCTTTAATTTAAAGTTATGTAACTTTACTCTTTAAAGTTTAAAGTTGCAGAACTCTCTTCCTTAAAGTTTAAATTTTTTTTATATTAAATTTTTTTAAGTTTTATCACTATTTTTTAAAAGAAATGTTTTTTTTTTTAAGTCACATAATTCTCTTCATTAAAATCATGCAACTCTCTTTCTTAAATTCATATATAGAAAATGGATTTTAGAAAATTGATGTCCACATGTGGACAAATATACCCAACAACAAAGTTAAATCTTCTCTGTATTCTAAAGGAACTGGTGATTTTTTAAACTGGTTGTCGGTGGTGATGGTGGTTGTCAGTGGCAATAGTTGGTGGTGATTGCCATTGATGATGACTGGAAAATGCATGTATTATATCTATTCTCCTTCTATCCTCTACTTCTTTTTATATTGGAGACATTCCACTGTCTTGAATAGGTGGTATCCCTTATCAAACTCCAGTGCCCCTATTTGTATAAAAAATATTATTCTTCATACAAAATTATAAGTGATACATAAAATTTCTTGATGGCAGTGCTTTTATATTTATCTTGAAAGAACGTCAACTGTCTTCATTCTGAGAGTCTTTTTATCATATTTTAAAGTTTCAATTCTTCTCTTGACAAGGAGGTCATCATTGCAAATTATTGCAACGCCAGATCTAGAAATAACATTAATAAAGTACTTCAATTCAGAGTTTCACTTTCATATCCCTGTATTAGGTGAAAAAGATTGTAATTTCGAGACTGATGTATAATTGTAATATATTGACATAATGTAAATCCAATAGTATTATATATGGATTTGAGATATTTATATGAGCTCGGTATTTTTTTAAAACTGAACTTGCTCCTCATAAAAAAAACTAAGTCATTTATGTATCTTTGAGAAAGATTTTATGTAGAAAACTTTGAAAGAAAAAAAACTATAAGTTTTAGCCCAGTTACAAAATTTACTATGTAGTGAATGATACAAATATCCTTTTTTTTCACTTTTGAAGAAGAGTAAGAATACAATAATCATATATTCAGAGATGGACAATATATATCCCACAACATGACTTAATTTTTCAAAAACAGGATTTTAAAAAACTTATGCTCACAAGCGAATAAATATACCCAACAACAAGCCTAAATCTTCTCTATATTCTAGAGAAAGTGGTGAATTTTGAAGATGGTCGTCGGTGGCAATGGTGGTTGTCAGCGGTGATGGTTGTGGTTGTCGTTCATGATGGCTGGAAAATACAAGAGAGTTCTCCCTTGCTCTTTCTTCTTATTTGTCCTTATTGTCGGGTATATTTGTCCTTCTTTATACTCAATTTTTTAACAGCTTGTAAAAGCTTTTCAACTTCTTTTATGGCAGGAGAAGAAGTTAGTAAATATGTGTTTGAAATACCACTTTTTTCAACTTTTGATTTTAAAAAGTTATATTTGAAAAAATATTTTTGAAATTATGGCTAAAAAGAGAGTTTTAAAAATAAATAAATTAAAAAAAAAGTTTAAATACCCAAGTAAATTCGAGATTTTGGGCTAAAATGAAATCTAAATAGGATATAAAATTATGATGGATTTATTTTGACCAAAATGACTTTTGTCGAGATTTTTTTTTTTTCTGATTGCATGTAAATGTATGTCTACTTTTGTCGATTATGGCTAAAAAGAGAGTTTTAAAAATAAATAAATTAAAAAAAAAAGTTTAAATTGCTCCAAACAAATCCAAGTAAATTCGAGATTTTGGGCTAAAATGAAATCTAAATCGGATATAAAATTATGATGGATTTATTTTGACCAAAATGACTTTTGTCGAGATTTTTTTTTTTTTTTTTTCTTATTGCATGTAAATGTATGTCTCATGTAAAATGAGGATTAATGTACAGCCCCTAATACATGCGTCGGAGAATGTTGTTTTTTACATGAGGAATTTGAAAATTTTTACTCAGCAATATATAACACTATTAAATAAAGTCTCATTTAAGTTTTATTAATTGACTAATTCAGCATTGTAACCTATCAGTAGCCGAATCTACCATCCACCGCCAGATCTATCCTATCCATTGATATCTCTATTTGCTTAGCCATTTTTTCCTCCAAAAAACTGAGAGCCCTACCTCCTACCTCTGCGAGAGCTTCTCCCAAACCCTCGCCGATCTCTCCGGTGCCAGAAAAGGTAAATGCTTTAGTTTGTTTCGGTATGATCTACAGCTCGTTTTCTCCTTTTCCGACGATGGTTTAGGGTTTACTTCTTTCATTTCGCCTTTTTTCATCTTGATCTACGAAACGCTGGTCTCGATTTTTTGATCTGTTTGTGTGTATGTCAACTCGTTGCTGATCTGATGGTCTTTGACCTATAACTTCCTTCTTCTGCGGTGAATTCGTTGGCTGTGTAATTTTCAGGATTTCTCTGGTGCTTGGTCTCTAGTTCGTGGTAGATCTGCTACATAGTATGTCATTTATAGGGCTGTGTGTGAGTATTATTCTTTTGGGATTTATTTTGATGATTTGTTCTCCGATTATATTGAATTATTGGATTAGCTCAAGAAAAGACTTTTTTTTTTTTTTTTTTTTCTTCCTCCTAGTTACGCCGTGTATGTTTTACCGGTTGGCGTGATCTATGTTGGAAACGATACTAAGAGGGATTTTCTCGGCGTAAGTATTACATCAAAAAGTATTTCAAGAATCTTTTGTTTTCTGCTGTAATCCCAAAAAGCAGCTGTAATATAATTGAAGATCCTATTACATATATAGATCCGATAAAAATGGAACCAAAAGTGTGGAGAGAAAAAGAGGTTTTGTGAGGAGAATATAGGAGAGAGGATCTGATAGGAGAGATCTCAAAGAGATTCTGCTGGACGGAGTTTGGATCAAAAGTTAAAGATTAAGATAAGTCTACGTTTGACCATTGACCCCTTATTTGTATGTGAGGATTAAGGTTGGTTGCATAGTATTTTCATGATTACATAGAAGTACATAATTTATATTCACTGTAGCCAGCTATATAGGAGCAAGTCTCGCTAGTAGCTATCCCATAGGTGAGAAATTTAGGCGAGTTTCGAATTGAAGGTGAGTGCTCTTGACGATTTTCTCATAGTGAGAACCTATAGTTAGCTAGCGAGTACTCTAGATGAGTAGCATGTGCTTTACCAAGTTGGCAACTTTGTGAATAGTCGAGTGATTTTGGTAGCTTGATTATAAGTGTTCTCTTGTGGGCTACTTACTGAGATCCATCACTAATTGATTGGAGGCTTTATTTAGGTGATATTAAATTTGGCAAGTTTTGTGGTGATTCATGATCAACAACTAGCTTAATTTGGTTCAAGCTCTTGTGATGACTTGACCAGCCTGACCTATACAAATGTAGTCGTACAGCTAGAACACTATTGCCTAACATCTTTTAAGAATTTATCTGATTGAACTATTGTTTATAATTTCATGACAGGTAAACCTAATATCAATTACAAATTTATATTTTGTAGATTTGGTCGGTTTTGAAATAATTCCAAATTTATCCAAGTGACTCTTTCAGTTAAGAGTGTTGGATGAAATAGCTTCTCTATCATAGATGTGTAGTTTTTTTTTTTGCTTTTCTATTTTTTATGTTGTATGTGTAAGGAAAGGTGTTTAATTTTTCTTGGGGATTGGATCTCATTAAGTGTTTAGTAACGCTCCTTATAATGTTTACTGTTTTCTAAATTTCGACGATTTATTGTTCAAACAGGTTCATCATAAACTATGGCCGAAACTGAGGACATCCAACCCCTTGTTGTTGATAATGGCACTGGCATGGTGAAGGTATGTGCTTTTATTCGCATTTGAATGAATTTCCCTTATCTAATCTTCTTACTGGAAGTTTGATTATCCGTGTAACAGTATTTTGTAAACAAAGTTTCTTTTTCCTTGTTATAACTAGGCTGGGTTTGCTGGAGATGATGCTCCCAGGGCTGTATTCCCAAGTATTGTCGGCCGTCCACGGCACACTGGTGTCATGGTGGGAATGGGTCAAAAGGATGCCTATGTTGGAGATGAGGCACAGTCCAAAAGGGGTATTTTAACCTTGAAGTACCCCATTGAACATGGTATTGTCAGCAATTGGGATGACATGGAAAAAATTTGGCATCATACCTTCTACAATGAGCTTCGTGTCGCTCCAGAAGAACATCCGGTTCTTCTTACAGAAGCCCCTCTTAATCCCAAGGCTAACAGAGAGAAGATGACTCAGATTATGTTTGAGACCTTCAATGTTCCAGCCATGTATGTTGCCATCCAAGCTGTGCTTTCCCTTTATGCTAGTGGTCGAACCACAGGTAAATTGCTCTATCACCAGATAATTTGCGTAGAACATTTTACCATAGTAATTCATCTAATTTCTGATACTCTTTTGAAGGCATTGTGTTGGATTCTGGTGATGGTGTCAGCCACACAGTTCCTATCTATGAAGGCTATGCACTACCACATGCGATTCTCAGGCTTGACCTTGCTGGTAGGGATTTGACTGATGCCCTCATGAAAATCCTCACAGAGAGGGGTTACTCATTCACAACAACAGCAGAACGGGAAATTGTTCGAGATATCAAGGAGAAGCTTGCTTATGTAGCCCTGGACTATGAACAGGAGCTCGAGATTGCCAAGAGCAGCTCCTCAATTGAGAAGAACTATGAGCTTCCAGATGGCCAAATCATCACAATTGGTGCTGAGAGGTTCAGATGTGCAGAGGTGCTTTTCCAGCCATCTCTCATAGGTATGGAGGCTGCTGGTATCCATGAGACTACATATAACTCTATCATGAAGTGTGATGTAGATATCAGAAAGGACTTGTATGGAAACATTGTGCTTAGTGGTGGATCCACCATGTTCGCTGGCATTGCTGATCGTATGAGTAAGGAGATCTCTGCTCTTGCACCTAGCAGCATGAAAATTAAAGTGGTGGCTCCTCCTGAAAGGAAGTACAGTGTCTGGATTGGAGGATCTATATTGGCTTCCTTGAGCACATTCCAGCAGGTAATTCTGTTTTAAATTAAAAATAATTATGCCTGAATCTTGAAATGATATCAATTTTGTTTTCATTTTAATTGACTTGAATGCTAAAATCAATCTTGTTGAGAATTTAATGAAAGTGAAAAATACAGATTGGGATTTTGTTCTACTCTTTTAGATTTGGATGATAATGATATTATTGTAAATGGAGTTAGTTAGGTGTTAGTTATGTAACTATGCAATATATGTGTGTGATGATTTCCCAAGTTTAATCCTATCCTAAATTAATTTGTTCTGTATGCTCTTATTTTTGTACTATTTTGATATTTTTGCAGATGTGGATATCTAAGGCCGAATATGATGAATCTGGTCCAGCTATCGTGCATAGGAAGTGCTTCTAAAGTTTGCTATGTTGGTATTTTGGTACGGTATTTAGATATCTCATGGTATTTGACGCCTTGTGTGTGGAAGCTTGTTTTGTAGCTCTTTTTGCATGAGTTTTTATGATGTTTCCTTCTCTCAGATATTTTTTTCTACAGAACATATGTGATGTGGTTTGTATGTGTATGATTTGTAGTCTGGATTGAGTTGTAGCAAATTTATCCTTTTTACACCAACTTTGCTATTATGCTGCACAAGACAGTTTTATGCGTTGAGGTCTTAAAGTTTCTGAAGAATGTGTTTGATATGAATTATGTTTTTGAGAATTTGCTTTTCTGTCTTTTTTGCTGAGATCATATATTGTGAGATGTCTAAAAAAATTGCAAAGATTATTTCTTTGAAAATGTTAATTTAGCTTTTTATGATCCTTCCATCATATAAATGAATGTCCATGCATGCTCATTAATTATATAAGGGATATTTATGCATTTGTCATTGAATTTTTTTTTTATTTAGCAAAAAAATTAATATGAGGATATATACCTGATATAAATTATATTAGGATGAGGTCAAAAGTCATTATATTTTGAGATTAGTTTTGAATATAAAGAATTTATATTATATTAATCTCAAACAAATTTAAGGGATTTCAAATCCAATCCTTGCACTGTTGCTTTTTTTTTTTGGAATTATAGAATTCATCTATTTGTGTGTGTCGATGTACAAAAGTGCAAAATATGGGAGATAGTAGTGTGTTAGTTTTGTAAATAGTTAAAGATTTAGGTGTTTCGTATGAAATTATCTCATATAAAATGTTCTTCTTTGGGTGGGGTTGCTTGATTAAGTTTTATTTAGATTTCAATATTTGCTTTAGATGCCAGTGTTATTTCTTAAACGATATATACTTTGCTTGATGTAATTAAATCTCCTAGATATTAGTTATTTGATATAACTACAGTTGTTGTTTAGGAAATTTAGTACAGTAAAGATTCCTACTGACACAAACTGCATTCATCTAATAAGTTACTGAAGACAGCAACAACTGTAGTTATAAGCAGCTGCTGTTACCATCTCCAACTCTGCTGTAGTAGACAGTTTTGCTGGGTTCCAGCACACCACTGTTCTGGAGATAATATCAGCATTGCATAACAAAAAGTCATGTGTATGATTCCTACTGACAAAGAGTTTTTTATATTTCAAAGAGTAAAAAGTCAATCTAGCTAGTTATGTTATGTTATGTTAGCACATATGAAGTTGATAATTAAGATCTAACTTAATTCTTCCAGATGACCAAAGCAAAACAATTTTATTATTATCCTCTTTCAAACGAGTACAACTAACTAAAGTCTACATATAAATATAGAAGACAGTAAAGTAACTGTGGAGTTTTTAAAAGTAGGGGGATCTTAAACATAATTAAGTTAAAGACGTGTAATTTAAACTTAATTAAGCAGAGTAAACTCAATTTTTTCTGTGTTTTTTTAAATGAAATGTAAAACTTTTTAAAATGCAAAAATATTTTACATTTTTATAATGGTTTATATTTTCAAAAAATATATATATACAAAATTCTATTGCGTTTTCACTTGAATGTTTTTGGTAAATTTGATATTCATATAATAAATTTTAATCTTAAGTTTTGTTATTAAAACGAGAAATTGATTAACGTTTATTTTACATTTTCGCAAAAAACGTGAAACAAATTAACGTGTTTTATCTCAATTGATCCTAACGGATGTTCCTTAGTTAAAATGTTGCTTAATCTGTTGTATATTAGATGGACCCAATAAGTAGGATCTATGAGTGCCGGACTTATGGAGATTGTGGCTTAATATCTCAAAGGGTATCAAATAAGTTTTGAATCTTATTAGTATCTAATCCATATGGTCGAAAGCTTGGGGCTTATTATTTCGTATTTAATATGTCTAATAGCGATATGACTTAATGTCTTTAATTTAAGGGGGAGAAATATGGAGCTGTAACTCTTATTGCTTTGATATTATAGTAGCTTAAATTAATGTGGCAACATGAATTATGCAATCTCTAGTAAATATTAGAATAACTAATAAAATAGTCTAGTAATTATTTTAAAACAAATCTTCAAAATAACATGAATGTATTTTTATGGGTCATATTAGTATAAACTCAAATAAGATTGGAAGCCAATGTAAGATCTTACTAATTTTAGAAAGTTAATTGGGGTTAGATAAAAATTAATCTAGCTTGTTTGAGTTATTCAATATCTTTTTAGGCTATTTATCTTATGTTTAGGTTTTAGAATAATATTTTTTTGAGATTAATTAGAATAAAACTAGGTTAATTAAGATTGTAAGTTTAAAAGAACGAGGGCTCGACTCAAAATTAAGATGATGAATTATGAGATAATAAATAATATAAAAGGAAGATTTATGTATTCTTTGTTGAATGCTTCTAAAAGAAAATCATTAAAAATATGAGATGTGAGGGATGACTGACCCCACGCTCTTAAAACCAATCCACATCCGCAAATGACCCCAACTCATCAATGACAGATCTAAACTTGCTCATAATTTTAAACTGACAGTGAAAAATAATAATAACATAAATAAATAAATGTGGGGAAGATGACAAAAAAGATTCGATGCTAAAATGAAAAATCATCTTTCACGTATTTGTAAATTAATAATGTGAATAGAAACACGATTTAAAACTGTATTAAAGGAAGGACTGTTTGCTTTACAACTTGGCAACCATTAAATCATTAATCATGGAAAAGGACCTCTACCGGGAGGCGCCGCCATTGCCCGCCACGTGTTCAGCCAGCAGATTCCTCCCACATTAAAAACTAAATAATTATAAAATGAAGGATTTTTCTTATCATGATATTTTAATCTTCATTTTATTTTTCTTAATTCCGCTTCTCGCTTAAGCATAAAGCAAATATATATACAGTTATTGAATGAGATTATTTATTGAGAGTACTTTCGCTGCATACCCATTCTGCTATTCATATTCATTGTTTGGAGGATTTTTGCATGTTTACATAATGCATATCTTACTGTTGCGGCTGATTCTGACAACTAATTATTTCGAAAAGAAAATAATATGATCCGCAAATTCTTTATCAAATTTAATTATTAAATTTGCACGACTCTGAAATATTATATATATAATCCAAACATTAATTATTATTTACATTTCATTTGCAAATGGTTCAAACCCGACATCAACTCGCTATTATTTCACCCGGCTCATTTTTTAAGACGAGTCATAAGTTGCAACCCCAACCCGACCCGCTAAGTTAGAAGGTTGACCAACCCGACTCGATTAGCTCGAGTTAACAAATATCACGGAAGGCACATGTATAATGAGGGATCGGACGTACAACTCAAACTCCTGTGATGTTCGTGTGAGGTCGGAGTAGAACAGTGGCTGATTGGAGGGTCTTTGAACGAATTTAACCTACTGAAGTCTGATCGAGTAGTGTGAGAGAACGAGAGGTGGTGGATCAGAAGTTTTGGCTACTTTCACGAGAGATTCGAACAATTGTATATTGGTGTTGAGCAAGAGAGGGTAGCTCGCGATCATGAGGAAGAAGTTAGGCACGATTCAGTCAAGTGGGGGAGGATTTGATTGTATCGATCAGCACAATGGATCGAGGCGTCAATCAAGTGTGTGGGAAGAAGAAGGGAGGTCGAACGGGTGCTTGGAGGCTATAGGAAGGGGCGTGGCAGGTTCGATCATGAGTGGAGATTGTTCGGCATCGGGATTGGAAACTGAGTAAGTTTGACCGATGGATTGGGCTTAGAATCGACGTAACTGTGAGAGGTGAGTCGAGTTGGGCTGATCGGTATATTGAATCGGTTTGATCAGAGGTTTCAAGGAGATGTTCAACTAGTTGTGACGGGGGAGCGAACTCGGTTCGAGAGGCTTGCCCCTGGAGAAGAGGTTTTGCGGGTCATTAAGGATATTGTTAGGTTCTTGGGTTGACCCAAACTTGATGCATAATTTGAAACGGGTCGAAAATCGAGACCCAACTCATTCTTAAATCGGATTGATCATAACCTCAAAAATTCGGATTGAGTTTAAGTCTAATTTTTATGTCATGTTAATTTTTTACATCCCTTTTTGTATGGTCTGGATCTCTTTGAAAAAGTAAGTAGAAAATAGGAACAATAAAGTCCTTCCTCATGTTATGAGCTCTTCCCCATTTGTCTTTTTTTTTTTTTTCTTTCTAATTTCAAAAGGAAGATTAAAAAAAAAAAAAAGAAACACTAGTGACACCCATGTTATGCTTGTTGCCTTGTTCCCCACGGTTTATTTACCACTCACACACACTGTCTCTCTCTTTCTCTCTCATCCACCACGCCTTGGCTCCCACAGCCCTCTCTGTCCTTTCCGTTCTTAACTACCATCAAGCAGCAAAGTAAGCCCCGCTGACACCGCAGCATCTACTTTCTTTTATCATCTCTCTGGCTCTCTCTCTCTCTCTCTCTTTTCCGCTCTCTCTCTAAAATTTCTAATCTTTTACCGCATCTTCTTCGTCAATTCAATATATATATATAGATAAATTATTCATACCTTTAAATATTATTATTAATTCTCTTGCCAGCCAGCTCTCCCTTTCAATAACGCTATAACAAACAGGTAGAGTGTAGTCGGAGAGGATCGAGCTAGCTAGCAAAGTGCTAAGCATGCAGGAAGAAGAAGGACCTCCGCCTTCAGATCAATTAGCCGCGCCAATAAGTGTGCGTATGCCTCCTCTAGGTCTAGGCTCCTCATCTGCATCAGCTGGTAACGGCTTTGACGAAATTGCGGTAGAGAGAGACAGTGGGTGTGGCTCGCCGGCCGGAAACCGCTGGCCGCGCCAAGAGACTATGGCACTGCTCAAGATCCGCTCTGATATGGATCCGCTCTTTCAGGAAGCCACTCTCAAAGCCCCCTTATGGGAACAGGTCTCAAGGTGAGTTCTCTCTCTCTCTCTCCCTCTCTCTAGTAAGGCTGTTTTTCTAATAACGGTATTTTGGGATCCAATTCTTGCTTCAACATAAAGTAATAAGGTGAGAGTTCAGTTCCATCTCTCTCTCTCTCTCTCTCTCTCTCCCGTCGTCACAATTTCGATCTTGCAGACACATGAGCTCTTAATTTCTCTCTCTATCCATCACGAGTAGAGCGTCTTGAGGAAAAAAAAATCGTTTAAATGCGTTGGGATAAAAATTACATATGGACTGAATTCGATGGAAGGCTGTCAGATCCACGGCATCAATCCCAACCATACTGCCTCTCTCTCTCTCTTTTCCGCGTACAAAATTCAGATGCTAAATTATGGAAGTTCATATATGTGAAAATATATATATATATAATATATATATATATTATATTTAGGTAAACATTAGTCATAAAACTATTATATATTTATCTCAAGTAAAATTGTCAATTTTAAAGCACATTCTTAATCATTAAAAAATAAAAAAGATTAATCATAAATTTTTTGCTCATTTATTTTTAAGGGGGTTATACATTAGGCTTAAATTCCGATATTTTTGGCAATGTTCAGCGAGTACGATTATAACTGTTGTTTATTTCTATCAGTACAGTGAAGATAAATAATAATTATTATATAATTAGGTGTAAGATTAGATGCGTTGAGTGCTGCATGTGTGTTTGCGTGCAATCATAAGAACCTTTCGTTTTTTTTTTTTTTTTTTTCTTAAATACACCTTTCGTTTTCCTCCAATTTTTTATTAAATTACATGTCGAATTTTTTTAAATTAAAAATATTTTTTTTTATCAAACTTTATATTGTGGTGAGGAATTGAGTTTGCAAGTGGTCAGGAAGCTAACGGAGGAAGGATATGAACGGAGCGCAAAGAAATGCAAAGAGAAATTTGAGAACGTTTTTAAGTATTATAAGCGTACGAAGGAAGCTCGCGCCGGCAAAACTTACCGTTTCTTCAGCCAGCTAGAGGCACTCCGCTCCTCCTCCTCCTCCTCAGTCGCCGGCGCCCCCCCACTGCCGCCAACAATAGCGAACAGTTCAGCCACTATGGTTAACATTGAGGCCAGCTCGTCCGGCGCCGCTGCTCCATCTCCGCACACTCTGCTTTCAGTCACTGTTCGGCCACCGCCTCCCCCCGCCGCCGGCCCTATTACGACTACGACAATCCCGCCGCCTCCAACTGACGCTGCTGATGGGCCGAGTTCCTCGTCGAACACATCAAGCTATTCCGGCACAGAGTCGGAGGATGAGGACGGCGGAGAAGCTAGTCGGAAGAGAAAACGAGAACGCCGCGAGGCGCCGGAGGGTAGCGGAAAGATGATGGCTTTTTTCGAGGGTCTAATAAAGGAGGTAATGGATCAGCAAGAGACAATGCTTCAGAGATTCTTGGAAGCGATAGAGCGGCGAGAACAAAACAGAATGATAAGGGAAGAAGCATGGCGGCGGCAGGAAAAGAGCCGCATTTCTCGGGAGCATGAACTCGTGGCTCAAGAACGCGCCGCCGCTGCTTCCCGCGACGACGCAATCATTTCCTTTCTCCAGAAACTCACCGGTCAAAAAATCCCCATTCCTCCTCCTCCACAACCTCCTGAAACCACCGTCGACCCCGCAGAAGAAACACCAACTTCCCCACCGCCACCTCCACGGCCCGAAGACCCCGATCAGCCACCGAAGGAAACGACTTTGGGTTCTTCGAGCAGAAGGACGATAGAGGCGCCAATATTGTCTTCGCGTTGGCCGAAATCAGAAGTCCATGCGCTGATCAATCTGCGAAGCGGGATGGAGTCGAAATATCTGGATTCAATCCCAAAAGGTCCATTGTGGGAGGAGATCTCGGCCTGCATGGGCCGCCTCGGCTATGATCGGAGCGCGAAACGCTGCAAGGAAAAATGGGAAAACATCAATAAGTACTATAAGAAGGTGAAGGAAAGCAATAAGAATCGCCCAGAAGATGCCAAGACCTGCCCTTATTTCCACCAACTCGACGCTCTCTACCGCGCTAAAATCCTCGGCGGAAGTTCCTCCGCCGGCACAGCAGGCCAAACTCTCTCCACAGATGATCATCAACTCGCCATCAGCTCCCCAACCGCGGCCATTATTAAGCAGCAAGATGACCGCATGAGCTTCTTCGAACAAGGATCCAGCTCGGCTTCCCTGGTAAAAAAGGTAGTTTTATCAGCGCCGCCCATTCGTTGCTTTTCGCTTGCAAATTCAATTAAAATTGCTTTGTTGTCAATTAATTCGGCATTGTTTATATTGAAGCCAGAAGACATTGTGAAGAAGAAGATTGAACAGGCCGTTGTTGAATCCGAGAGCAAGAAAATGGAGACGGGTGTCAGCTTTCGGTTCAGAATGCAACAATATATCATGCCTAGAGTGCTAATTAGTGGTGGAACTGGACAGCAACTTGTCGGCCATGGTCCGGTAGAGAGATCTATTCCTTTATTTTACTTTTTTTATATATATATAAATATAATCCATAATTAATGGATCTATTTATCTACTTGAACGATTTCTATTGAATTGATTTAGGGTTTAGGAAGAATAAAATATAAGTGGAGGGCGGTGGTGGCGGCGGGTGTCTGAGAATTGGAGAAAATTAATGTGGTTGATTTGATTTGTGCTTCGTTGCGCAGATTCTCATCTCCTGTTGTTCTTAGTTTGTTATTTTAATTCTTTGTTTGTTGATCTCCTTCTCCTCGAGCTTCTTTAATTTCCTAAAAAATTATTTAATGATTTTCTTGCAGTTGCTTTTCGAGTTCATGTTATTATTTTTACCATATAAGTAAGCATGATTGTTAGTTTGTGTAGGTTTACTTCGATTGGAATTGTGAATTGTTTACCATTTAATTTTGTGCACATATTTTCTTATCCTCTGCGGTTGTCTTTTTCTTATAATAGTTTTTAGGGGTTATTCACTTTCGTAGTCTAATTAATACTCTATTAAGAAATTAGTTAACGGTAAGTTGTTGGGGGAGTTTTGTTGATGATATGCATAAATATATATTTCTTATATATATGATAATAACGTATTGGTGCATGCATCTTGGTAGGCCCCAAATCAATTCCTTCACATATATTCAATTAATTATTAGCTTTCATGTACCCATAACTAATTAATTAGGAGTGAGACTTATTTTATATACTTTTAAATTAATCCATCCCAATTTTATTTTGAAAGCTTTTTTTTTTGAAAGGTAAATATTAGGAATCTAAATGCGCCCAATTATTTAATTCTAAGATGTGAAATTAGACGAGTATTTTTTTTTTCTTTTTGGAAAATTTGGGCATAGTCCGTATATTAAAGAAAAAGAGTTACAAGTAAAACCAAAGTCTCCACAGAAAAAAATAGGGAGACAGACAAAATTAACTCAAAAAATAACCATGAAGAAAAAAAATGTCACACGAAGGCTCTCATAGAACATAAGTCAGGACTCAATCAACAAACATAGGAAATATGAGAGATCAGACTACTAAACCCTGGTTGCCCAAAGATCATCCAGCGACTCTTATTTTTTCTTTTCTCTCTCTTTGTGTATTAAAATTATTAAAGATTTATGTTAGCAGTGGGAACTGTGATAGTGGCTTTTGGATGTGATGTCCTCCTGTCTTTCCTTTTTTTATTAATATTATTATTATTTTCCTTTTTAGGATATGTAGTGTTCTGTTGAATTATGCTTAAATTGGTTTTTATTTTGGGCATGCCAGAGAAGCGACGCCAGCTAACTTGTCCCTGCGGCGCACCCTTCTTTTTTGTTTTTCCCTGTCAAATTAACACCGGACGTCAAATTAATTAACTTCTAAAAAATCTTCTTGATTATTGAGAAAGATCATCGCCGTTGAAAAATGGATGAGACGCAGATATATTACTTTAAGAGTTTAGATTATTAAAATGATTTAAATATTAAAAAATCAGCTTATAAAAAAGTAATGATCTAAGAGCCATTCAGCAAAAAAGCCCGCCTGGACAACTTATTGTTGAATCGTACAAATAGACCAAAAGCTTCGGCCGTTACGCTTATCGACTTAGATGGGCTAATAATTGGCTTCATATAATTACTTATCCACTCGGGTGGGCTAATTATTATTGGCTTCACATAAACATTGGTCCATTTGTGTCCGCTCAACAACTTAATTACCGAAAGAGAGAGAGAGAGAGAGAGCAACAGTGAGGCTGTTTTGTTGTTGGAGGGTTACTTTCTGAAATGGCACCAATAATTAATGTATCAAGTTTTGGCCTTTTGATTTGAGAGCTTATATTTTTCATCTATGCTTTCTAAAACTATTTTATAATACAAAAAATTTTTAAATTAGAAAATTTTATACTTAAAAACAGTTTTAAGAAGTAGTTGTAGAAATCAATGGATTCTTGAATCGGAAGAGAAGCTAGTCGGCAGAGACAAGAAGGATAACTTCAAGAACAGAGAGAGAAAAGAGTAATTCATTATGTCTAAAACAGTACATCTTATACATATATAAAGGCCTAAGTAATAAGGCTACACACACACGCTACATTACACTTTAATTAACTAATTTATTTACATCTTGCTGCTCTAATATTCCCCCGCAAACGGTTGAATCGGAGGTGATAGTAAGTTTGAGCCTTAATTTTTGAAATCTTGGTGTGGCTAATGCTTTAGTGAATATATCTGCTACTTGGTTGATGGTACTGATTGGAAGTAGAAAAATGGTGTTTTGATGAATATGATCCATGATGAATTTGTGATCAATCTCGATGTGTTTCGTTCTGGCATGAAATACCGGATTGTTGGCTATAGCGATAGCCGAAGTATTGTCACAAAAAACTTCAGTCGGTGCTGTTTGTTGGATACCAAAATTTGATAGAATCCGCCTAAGCCATATAATATCGACGATGACAGCAGCCAACGCCCTGTATTCTGACTCCGTTGACGATCTTGCAATAGTTGTACGTCTACTTCTTGACTGTCCAAGAGATAAGGGTATTTCCTAAGAAGGAGCAATAGCCTGATGTCGATTTTCTGGATATCGGATCTCCCGCCCAATCAGCATCTGAAAATGATGTGAGACATAAGTTAGATTTAGTGATTGGGATTCCAAATCTAACGTACCTTCTAGATATCGGATAAGTCGTTTGAGTGGGTAGATGTGTTGAGGCTGTGGTTGTTGCATATGTTGCGAGAGAAGATTTACACTATACACAATATCTGGTCTAGTGAGTGTGAGATACTGTAGCGATCCCGTTATTTGTCGGTAGAGATGGGGATCCGAGAGCAATGTGTCGGAACTGAAATCGGGCGGTAGTTTCGTGCATCTTGGATTGGCCAGAGGATTACATTTTGTGAGATTAGCCATTTCAATGATAGATTTTGTATACTTTTGCTGTGAAAGGAAATAAGAGTCTGGTGTACGCGTAATATGAATGCCTAGGAATGAATGTACATCTTCTAAGTGTTTCATGTTGAACCTTTCATTAAGCTATTGCAGAACCTGACTTATGGCGTTTTGGTTGTTGCCGGTGATTAATATATCATCGACATATATTAGGATGAATAGGTGAGCATTATTGCGGTGAAGAATCATTAAGGATGGATCTGAACTGCTGTGATTGAATCCGATTGATTCCAGGAATGAGGTGAATGTAGTGTACCATTGCCGAGGTGCCTGCTTAAGACCGTAGAGTGCCTTGCGAAGTAGACAGACATAATCTAGTTGGGATTCGTCTTCAAAACCAATCGGTTGTCGCATGTAAACTGTTTCGTTGAGGTTGCCGTGTAAGAACGTGTTTGCCACGTCTAGTTGTTGAACAGTCCAATTATTGTGCAGTGCTACCGTAAGTAGTATTCGTATTGTTGGCAACTTTGCCACTGGGCTGAAAGTCTCTGTATAATCCAAGCCATATTCCTGATTGTTTCCTTGAGCTACGAGACGCGCTTTATATTTGGCTATCGACCCATCTTCGTGTAGTTTAGTTTGGTAAGTCCACATGCAGCCCAATATATGCTTGTTGTGTGGTCTAGGAACCAACTGCCATGTTCCTTGTTGTTGTAGCGCTACGAATTCAGAAGCCATGGCACGTCTCCAATATGGAATTTTATTTGCTTCATGAAAAGACGTGGGATCACTTAGAACTTGATTTTTTGATTGTTTATGTAGTAAATTAAGCCTGACCCGAGGCTTTAAAGAGTCTGTTTTATGTCTAGTTTGCATCGAATGACCAGCATGAGGATGTATAGTGGTGTTAGCTGGCTGTGGGTCAATGGTTAAATTTTCTGAATTGTATGGAGGAGGAATAGATACTGGCGGATGTGGTGTAGCTGGAGTTGGAGCGGTTTGAGTAGATCGTAATTTTGTGCTCTGCTGCAAGGTGGACGTTGGTATAAGGAATAGCGTCGACACATCTGGGTGGGACATTTGTGTGGTCTGCGTATTGTTGGCAAACGGAAACGCATTTTCGTCGAACGCTACATTTCGAGAAATGATAATTCTGTTATTGGTCAGGTTTAAACACCTGTACCCTTTGTGTTGTTGGGAGTAGCCCAGGAAGACATAGAGAGGAGCCTTTGGTTGTAGTTTGGTCCAAAAGTGAGTCGGCATGTGCGGGAAACAAGCACAATCGAAGATTCGTAGTTCTTGATAGCTTGGTTTCCTGTCATGAAACAGTTCGAATGGAGAGAGATTATTAGTATTGCGTGATGGCATTCGATTTATAAGATAAGTAGCTGTTAAGGTAGTATCCAGCCAATATTGTAAAGGAATTGAAGCCATATCTATAAGCGTGCGAGTCGTCTCAATTATGTGCCTGTGTTTTCGTTCGGCTACTCCGTTTTGCTCAGGCGTATAGGGACACGATAGTTGATGGGAGATACCATGTTTGTTTAAGAATTGAGTGAACGCATTACTACATTATTCACCGCCGCCGGCAGTGCGAAGGCATTTAATCTGTTTTGATGTCATGTTTTCGATCTGAGTTTTGAAGTGGATAAAAACATCAAGAACATCAGATTTCTTTGTCATTGGAAAAAGCCAGGTAAAGCGCGAGTAATCATCAACAAATATGACATAGTAAATGTAGCTCGTGTGTTAGGTTACCGGAGCCGGTCCCTACACAACGAAATGCAGTAAATGAAGAATATAATTTTGTCTAACAGATGTAATTTCAAATCTAAGTTTGTGATTCTTAGATTTGTTATAAGAATGACAGGAGATAGTATGTTTATTTATTTTTAAATGCGGGTTACTGGAAGCAATCGTAGCAAGAGTGCGAGCATTGGGATGACCCAATTGTTCGTGTCAGCAAACAGACTTCGTAACCATAGTAGTAAGAGCACTTTGATTTGCCACAGTTTCCGGAGTTCGTAGCGGATACAGTCCGTCACGGCAAGGTCCCCGGAGCATTTCTTGATTGTTCTGCAAATCCTTGAATACAAACCCATTTGGATCAAATGTTATGGATATATTATTATCCTTGGTTAGTTGAGAAATAGATAAGAGGTTATAATGAAGAGCTGGAGTATGTAATATTTGTGAGAGAGAGAGCTTACGTGAGGGAGTCGGTAGCAACCCACGGCCGGAGTTTTCAATGCTAACCGAACTCCCATCTCCTACGATGACTCCGTCATTACCACTGTATGGTGTTGTAGTGGACAGGTTATCAGTGTTTCTGGCATATGTGACGACGCACCGGAGTCCAAATACCATTCTGTATATGGTGCGGATGAATCAGCCATCATAGCCCAGTTTTGAGGTTTGGT